CACTTTTCTGGGGACTCCCCGGTAGGTCTGGGGGTATCAGAACACCCCGCCCCAGCCCGTGCCCCCCACCTCCCCCAGGGCCCTTCACCTGGCCGTGATCCACGAGCACGAGGAATTCCTGGAGTCCATCCTGCGGCACACGGAGCACTCGCCCTACCTGGACCTGCAGAACGACCTGGGGCAGGTGCGGAATGGGGAGAAATTTGAGGATCCCGGAAGGGTTGGGGGTCCTGGGACCACCCTAAGTCTCCGCGGCGCCCGGTGGGGGTGGGTGAGGAGCTGGGGGGTGAAATTGAGGTTTTGGGGTCACAGGGGGCTGGAGCTGTAGAGGGGGTGTCAACGGGGGAATTTGGGGTGGGGTTTGTCCTCCCATTTGTGACCCCAGAGCTACACATTGTCGTGGCGCTGGGGCGGTGTTTTTCGGGTGCTTTTGGGGTAGTTTAAGCCCGGTTTCGCCCCCAGAGCGCGCTGCACATCGCCGTGGTGCTGGGGCTGGCCGGGGCCGTGCGGCGGCTGCGGGCGGCGGGCGCGGGCGTGGCCGTGCGGGAGCGGGGCGGTCACACCCCCCTGCACCTGGCCTGTCGCGAGGGTCACCCCGCCTGCGCCCGCGCCCTGCTGGGGGGACCCCCCGAGCGCCGGGACTCCCCCGGGGATCCTCGGAAGGAGGAGGAGGAGCGGCGGGCGCAGCTGGAGAGCGTCAACTACGACGGTGGGGGTGCAGGGGGTAGGAGGTTTTTGGGTGGAGGGACATGGGTTGGGGGGAGGCGGTTTTGGGCTCATCGTGGTTTTGAGGGAGGGTCGCAGTTTTTCGGGGGTGGGGGGGGTGGGAGGACCTGATTTTGGGGATGAGGACACAGTTTTGGGGTGGGCACAGTTTGAGGGTGTCACACAAGGAATTGACGCGTTTTGAGGGGAACACGGCTTGGGGAGGATCAAACGGTTTGGGAGGGGACATTGGGAGGGCAGTGGTTTGCGGCACGGTCCCACGTGCTCAGGCGGGACTTTGGGCACCCCCCCGGCCCCCCTTTTTTCCCCCACAGGTTACACGCCCCTGCACGTTGCCGTCCTGCGCCGGGACCTGGAGCTGGTGCAGCTCCTGCTCCGCGCCGGCGCTGACCCCGACCGGCCGGTGGGTGCCCCCAAAAACCCCCCCAAGAGAAACCAAAAAGGGGCCTGGGGGGGGGGGTTCCTCGCTGCCCCTGACCCCCGCCGTGCCCCCCAGGAGCCGAGCTGTGGCCGCAGCCCCCTGCACTTGGCCGTGGAGGCCCAGAGCCCCGAGGTGGCCGAGTGCCTCCTGCGGGGGGGGGCGCGGCCGGACCCCCGCACGTTCTCGGGGTTCACCCCCCTGTACAGCGCCCGGCGCCGCCCCGACCCCCGCCTGCCCCCCCTCCTGCGCCGCTTCGGGGCCCGCGACCCCCCCAGCAGCGACAGCAGCGACAGCAGCGACAGCGAGGGCGGGGCCGAGGACAGCGAGGTCAGTCAGTGACCACACGCCCCCCGCCCCTGTTCCCAGAATGTCCCCTCGAGGCAGCCCAGGATGACCGGGGGGCTCCCGAGAGGGTCCCAAAACCCTACCAAGCGCCCCCCTCAAGCTCCTCCGACCGCTCCAAACCTCTGTCTCTCCCCAGGACGACTACGACGACATCATCATCAACAGCAGGCACTGCCCGGCCTGAGGGCCCCCATGGGACCCCCCCAGAACCCCCTTGGTTGGACTTAGAGGTCCCCCTGCTTCCCCCTGGCCGGGGGGACCTCCTGAAGATGCATCCCCCCCCCTCCCCCCCCCAAAATCTCCGGGGAGCCCCAAGGGCTGCGGGGGCCGGTGGGAAATAAAGAGGAGGCTGCGTTGGGAGCAAAGGACGTGCTTGAGAAAGTGGGTGGGACATGTGGGTGGGCGGGAGACACCTGTGTGAGTTCAGGGGACACATGCGTGTCTGTCCTCAGGGCGCCCATGGAGCAAAGCACGCATCTGTGAACAAGGGGGCGATTTCCAGATTTTATTCCCGGGATTTGTCA